ATCCCACCTGTCCAAAGCCAGCATCCTTCAGAAGTCAACATATATTTACTTATTTATTTTCATTATCAATCTTCCCCCATCCTTGAAGGTTAGTGCCTGGGATTTTTGTTTTGTTTGTGGCCATAACCCCAACACCTAGAATAATACTTGGCACGGTCAGCATTCATTAAAGAGTAGTTGGATGAGTGAGCAAGTGAGGTCCTCCCCACAATCCTCCCTTGAGTGTCTCGGATGAAATCAATTTCTTGCACCCCTGATATTAATACACTGTTTACCTCTCTCTGTCTTCTCACAGCGTAGGTCTCTTACTATTTTATATCAAAGTCGTTTATGTGGCTCTCACACTGGCCCTCCTAGACTTTGTATGAAAATAAGGTTCAGATGTTGAGTCAGTGTTGACGTTTAATAGGTTTTCAAAACATTTCTTTGCCAATGAACTCTAAATGGGAGGAAGGTAGATGGACAGAAAATACCAGGCTGCTTACCAAGGTGGAGCCCTGGGCTGGTTCGGCTGATGTAGAAATATAACACGGCAGCGACACTCATGTTTACCAGCGTGTAGGTCCACTGGATCACAAACATGATCAGCAGGGACCCCAACACCTGTCGAAACAGAGTAGGAAGGACAAACACTGAAGGTTTATCCTTGTGGGCAACAAAGCCAGAAGGCTGGGGCCCTAAGAAGCAGAAGTCCCTCTCGTTAACCTCTGATCCCCGAAGTCTGAATCACCAAGTTCACTCGGAATGAAAACAAACCAAATGGACAAATTCACTGAACCAGATTTTGAGAGGACAACCTCTCCCAAAACAATGCTTTAATGAAAATATCAATAGACGGCTATCCTGGTTCCACCACGACTGAGGATCATCTGGAAGTGTGCTTGAGGCTGGCTGTCAGCAGCTACTGCCCGGACTATGCATCCCTGGCTCATTCCATTCAGTGCAAGTCATCAGAGTAAACTCAGGTCATGACCAAAAATGTACATAGCTAATTGTGTTGTGTTGTGCAATATGGACTCATGCAGTGATGCAAGGTACATAAACATACATTGTACATGCTCAATGCATTTATGAATAAATGTAATAAATATATGTTTTGCATTTTTGTAGTTGGTCGATCATTTTGACTTGATCATTTTATAAGTAGCTCGCATGCTGAAAAAGCGTGAGCACCCCTGATCTAGAGCCTCATCTATATTCTAATATACAAAGCAGTAAGGTCACGTTGGTCCTCATTAAACAGCCTCTCCTTGCACCTTCACCCAGATCCTGACTGTCTGTCTCCACTTGGATGTGCATCGGAATTATGTCTCGGGAAACAGGTCAAGATGAAGTTACTCACCCCCAGCAGGGAGACCCAGGGATTGCAAAGGCGGGTGTAGAAAGAAGTTGATTTCCCACGGACAACTTGTTCCTGGAGGCTGGACCCGAGGAAGAAATCTAAAAGAGAAGTGAGCTTAATGCTTAGTTACCAGGATGCTGCCAAACCCCCTTCTCTTTGGATAAGCAACCACCTAGGAGTTCCTCCTCCGTAATTTTGTAACTCAGCCTAAAACACAGCTCGGAGCACTTGCTCTTAGAGAGGAGGGAGAGGCGTGTCTGGTGGCCTGAGGAAGAAAAGGGATGGGAGCACAGAGTGGACGTGGAAGCCCTTCTAATACCTGCTGCATCCCTCTCTAGATCAGGTGTCTGGAAACCCCAGAAGTGAAGACATCCCTTCTTGCCTGGATGTAAGTGGGGAGAATGGAAGAGGTGGGCATTTAGTAATATTGACTCTCAAGTGGGTCCACAGGGATGGCTGGGTCAAGCTGCCTTTTGTCTGCTGTTGGGTGAGCCTTGCCACCTTCTGACCCTGAAGGTGAGCACAGCTCCTTCGGGTGAGTTCCTCTGGAAGGTGAGGTGGCCGAGGGGCAAGGGATGGGCAGAGAAACCATGGAAGATCCTGCCTCCAGCAGCTCAGGCATCTCCTCCTTCTCAGGCTCTGTGCTACCCAGTCTCCCTTCCCAGTTTCTAGCTGACTGCAGCATTTCTCCATTGAACAACAGACATGCGTTTCAATTCACAATTTGGCCTAATCACCTTGGCGCCTCGTCACAGTGATTCATAAAAGAATGTGGGATACACTTTGCTCTATGCCCTCAGGTGCTCGCAGAAGAAATGTGGTTGTCGGCTTCCTAACCGCTTTTCCAATATCAATTTGGTTTCAGCCACATGGCCTTCCTGTGTCAGCTCTTCTGCCCAAATGCCCTTCCTGCTTCATTCTATGCCTGAAGCTCGTCTGATGCCCTCCACCCCCAGCCCTTCGGAATTGTTGATCTCTGGAGTGTACCTGGACTCCTCGGGGCACCTTGCCCGATCTCCTATTCACCCCTCAGGGCTCAGCTCTAGGATGACCTGTCAGAGAAATCTAAATGCATTCCCTCCTGTCAGTACTCTTGGGGTGTGGCCCATTTCCTTTCCTTCACGACACTTGCCATTATTTGTAATTGTGTATTTATTTACA